CTTCATATCGCCTGATGTTTTACTTTGATCATCTTTGAGTTTAAAGTGCTGACGTAGTGACGACCTCACAGCGTCACATCGTTTTAAACTCCTTCATGTTTACTTTTCCTGTTTCCTGTTTCCTGTGTGTAGAAGTCGTGTCGTCACCTCGAGCACACGCTCATCGTTTGTTTCATCGTTTCTGTGCTTTCAGGGTCTGCGTAAGCGGGACTTGCTGCGGGAGGTTTTACCCGTCATCGGTGAGAACCTGAGATTCCAGAGACTCTTCACGGAGTACCAGGACCAGCTGGAGCTGCTGCGCAACAAATAACACACACACACACACACACACACACACACACACACACACACACACACACACACACACACACACACACACACACACACAGGGAAACACAGACTGACACACACACACAGAACGCTGCTCGTCTCTGAATGTGTTCAAACACGTCCAGGTGTTTTCTGAGAACAATCAGAGCCGGTCTTCAGCTCACCGGGGGAGAAGTGGGTGCTTCATTTTTTAAATTTGGAATCACAGTTTGTTTTTGAACTCTCGTCTTTTGTCTTTCTTTTTTTTTTTTTCCCTGCTTACCGTGTTGCTCTGACCTTTGACCTCTCTCCTGAACTCCTAATCATGAACTTGTAAAGAATATCTAAAGAGCGAGGCTGAGAGAGGTCGTGCAGCGTCAGCAGCTGTTCAATCACTCGCTGAGGGGAGACGCTCGGAGAAGAGACAAAAGAATCAGAACGGACGGAGAGGAGCGATAAACCAAAGTGATGCACGGACGAGGAACCGAGAGACGGGCGTCTACATGAACGTTCAGTCTGTTTGTCCTGAATCTGCCGAGGGGCGGGGGGGCGGGGGGGCGGGGGGGGGGTATTATTGGCCTTTAAAAGTCACAAAGCCGAGGTCAACATGTGACATCACGGTGATGTCACAGACACAAATATTTAGACCTGCAGATCATCGCTATACTGAAGTGCAGAATGGACTTCTGGGAAATGGAGTCAGAAGGGATGTTGGAAACATAAGTTATTCGAAAAAAAACAGATTTTTGTCACTTTGTAGCCGCCGGCGTTTCCAGCGGCGTCAGAAAGCAGAAGCCCTGAAAGCTGATCCCCTGATCTGTTTCAAATCTTTTCTCTCCCATTTGGCTGGAATCTCTCTGAATCTTTGAAGCGACGGGGAAGACTCAAAACTCAGCGAGTGTGATCGTCTCATTTTGTAGTGGAAGATATTTCATAAGTCCGGGTGGAGTTTTATTGAAAAGCAAAATCAATCGGGCCTGGATGTCTTTCAGTTTTATCAGAGTGATGTTTGTGAAGAGTCTTGAAATGAGACGTTTTCTTTCTGCACGGTCAGATGATGCAGGCCGAAGGTTTTCGACTCGAAACAAGTTAAATACGCTCACTTCGATTTGTACGGAAGCCCAAAGAGGACACGGTTTTCCCTTTTTAACGAGTTGATTCCTGTTGTTTATTTGTCGCGGCGTCCCGGGAAGACAACGATGGTTTTCCCATAATTCAAATAAATCAAATGAATTTTTTAACTTGTTGAGAATCTGCTCGTTATGACAGGAAGACTGAGTTAAATCAAACAAATAGATGAGTGTCCGCTTTGGGCTTCCGTAGATTTGAGTTTTTGCAGCTTACAGAAAAATCACGTCAGGAGGAAACAGGAGGTGTGGTCGGTGTTGAATGATGAAATATTGAGCTGCTGCCCCGTGTGGCTACAATGAGAATTACAACAACAGTGGCCCGAGCCGCGGCTTGTCACAACCGATGGAATCTGAATGAGAACGAGCAGCATCTAGCTGCTCCATCTCTATGTTCCACACAAACCTGAACTTCATCTATGAGATCCAGATAATCCTCAGTCTGACGCTGTTTACTGAAGAATCCAGCTCACTTCACCTCGATCATGACGTCTCCTCACACCTTGAACGCTGACTCCTCTCGTCTGCAGGTTTTTTTAAACTCTTACCGTCAGCTTGCTTCACAATCACATCCAAACTCATTTAATACGAGGAGCTGCTTCAGCCTCCCCGTGCTCTGCTTTCTCCATCTCGTCTTTTCTGTGATGCTTTTTAGTTTCCTGGTGCAGCTTCTTTTTTTTTTCTTTTTTTTATGTACGTATGAAATCAGAATCTAAAGTGACTCCTGGAATCATGTGAACGCACCACGAGCTAGTGGGGAAATATTTTACATCTGATCCGTTTCTTTTGTAAATACATTCTCCGTTCGTCTTTGTCTCCGGGCAGAAACCACTGCAGCTACGAGGGGTCAAAGTTTTCTGTCTGACATCCATTAACGCCACATTTCTGCTGCTGTCAGGAGCCTCAAGGTCAAACGGCTCCATGACCTTCACGTCAACAGAAAGTACTTCTTCTTTCCTCTGCTGATCCACAGAGCTCGCTGCACGCTGTGACGAGCGGCGCCCACCGACACACTCGTTCTTCACTGATGTGTACAGCTTCTCTCATTTCTCTCTTCCGTTTATTTGCTGTTAGTCATTTTTAAATGTTTGTACAAGGCAAAAGTTTTTGTTTCAGTTTTTTTCTATAAGAAAAAAGAAAACACAGATGAGCTGAAGTTTTGCTTTTTGAAGAAAGTAAAAAATAAATGTTGGAAACGTTGAATATTTCTGTTTTGACGTCATGTTTCATGAGAGAAGATTACTGATGAATGAAAAAAAACTACATTAAAACCTTTTCACTGACAAAGAACACCTAGTCATAGTCCCTGCACATGAATGTTAAAGGTCCAATCAGTGAGCTGTGTAGAGAGTGAGATGATAAAGGTTTCTTACTCTCTGATCATTAAGGAAACATGTTGAAGTGCTGGCTTCTCTGACAACAATGCAGCAGCCAGTATGTCCTCCTTCTAACTTTAGATTCTGCTCCTGAATGCTCTGGATTTGTTTGGACCAGAGAAGGTAGGAGCTTTTAAGACACACCCCCCCTCACGGCCGTTTTGGACGCCCCTCTGTTTGTCAGATATGAGAGCAGTTACTAACAGGAGTTGCAGCGATCCTTTTGGCGTAACGAGAGACTGTTCTCTGCACAGCATGAGAAACATCACATTCACAGAGCGACCTTATCAGACCAGTGCTGCGTGCTGCTGTGTGCCAAGAGTGAACGCCTTCCCCAAACCATCAGATGTTGACACAATGGTGTCGAAATCAAGCGTTCACCACCTTTAAACGTTTGATAACCCCACTGTTACTCCGATTTGGACAAAAAAAGACACTACTTCAGGGGCTGAAAAAATGAAGCCAAGGCTGAAGAGCTAAAAACTGAAGTTCAAATGTCCATTAGATGCTCACTCAGGTCACCATGTGGTGGACTCTGAAGCTTCAGTGTTTATCCAGCTCTGCATGGGTCTGTAAACCTTTGTGTTCTGACCCTGGACCCTGGACCCTTAAGTTTCTGTACTTTTCATTATTATCGATCATTGAAAAACGGAGATTGTTTCATTTCGGAACACGTGGTATATAAAACATATCCATGTATCAAACATGAAGGCAACGTTAGCATTAGTAAAGCTGTTAACCTTTGAAAACTGGCGTTTAATAACCCCACGCTTCTCTGCAGCTCAACCCTGGAAAAAGCAAGTCGATACTGAGGTGCAAAATCCTGCAGTTCCTGGAGTGTCCACTAGAGGCTGGCTGCAGACGCACAGGAAGTCACATACACACCCATTCTAAAAAGGCTGTTTTTACAGCAGAGATGAACATGTTTACAGCCTGGTTCAAAAAAAAAAAAAAGCTCATGTCTTGATCTTAACAAATTGTGGACTAAAGTCTAGTGAGGACCACTTGTTCAATCAGGGTCAGGGTTTAGAGAGAAACATATTGGGTTAGTGGTTAAAGTGAAGGTTTCTGTGGCGGCGTGGGGATTCGTGTAGACCTCCAGGAAATGAATGTGAGGCTGACATGAAGCAACTTCCTCCTCACAGCGACCTCAGCTGCTTATCTTTTTTGGTTTCCTCATCCCACACAAAGATCTTTAACTCGCCAGAGGGGGAAATAACATCTTCACTGAGGGAGACTCAAACAGTCTGAAGCTCATCAGGTGGAGAAATGGACTTTCTTAGATATTAAGACTGAAACACATCTTTATATTAATTAAGTTCCATTCAGCGGTGAAGATGGAGCGTCTGTGTCTCCCTGCTCTCTGCACACTGATGAGCCTCCTCTGCGTCTTCTCTCTCGGTGAGTCATTTTCAACTATTCTTTGCATGTTGCTGAGATGTGAAACCTCACAGTGTTGACATCAGTGTGTTATTTGTCACACGTACGAGCATGTACCTTTCAGTCTGCCCTTGAATTAACTGGTTTCTCGCTGCACTAAAGTGTCGGCTACGGAAGCCCAAAGTGGACCGTGCATTTCATTTCCCTCAATTTTCCCACGATAAGTGAATTTCTGTTTTTCTGTCAAGATCTCAACTTATTTATCTCGCCTTCCTGGAACCACAACGTCGCTTTTCCAGTGATAACGATCATTTCTCGAGTAAACAGCTGAAATTACAGAAGCCCTAAGTGGACGTACAGTTCGTCCCCTTTTTTTTATCTTTCTCTGTTTCCCTCTTAAAACGAGTAAATTCAGCCGTTTTCCTTTAAATATATTTATCTCGCTGGATTTCCCGTGATGTCGACGATTTCTTGAGATCTCGAGAAAACGGCTAAAATTAACTTGTTGTCATTATCCCGAGACAAAAACAGGTGTGTGTGTGTGTGTGTGTGTGTGTGTGTGTGTGTGTGTGTGTGTGTGTGTGTGTGTGTGTGTGTGTGTGTGTGTGTGTGTGTGTGTGTGTGTGTGTGTGTGTGTGTGTGTGTGTGTGTGGTGTGTGTGTGTGTGTGTGTGTGTGTGGTGTGTGTGTGTGTGTGTGTGTGTGTGTGTGTGTGTGTGTGTGTGTTGTGTGTGTGTGTGTGTGTGTGTGTGTGTGTGTGTGTGTGTGTGTGTGTGTGTGTGTGTGTGTGTGTGTGTGTGTGTGTGTGT